TGTACATCTCTGTGTCCATGTGTGTACATCTCTGTGTCCATCTCTGAGTCCATGTGTGTACATCTCTGTGTCTATGTGTGTACATCTCTGTGTCAATGTGTGTACATCTCTGAGTCTATGTGTGTACATCTCTGTGTCTATGTGTGTACATCTCTGAGTCTATGTGTGTGTACATCTCTGTGTCTATGTGTGTACATCTCTGTGGGTTTGGACCAAAAAAAGAGAGAAGAAAGAAAGAGAGCTACAAACAGAAAAAAATAGAAAAGAAAAAGAGAAAGAGAAAGAAAAAAATATATAGAGAGAAACAGAGAGAGAGAGGGGGAGGAAAGAGAGAGAGAAAAGAGAAAAAGAAATTAAAAAGAAAAGAAAAAGAGAAAGAGAAAGAAAAAAAAATATATAGAGAGAGAGAGAAAGAGAGAGAGAGAAAGAGAGAGGGAGAAGGGGAACAACGTAGTCCCGAGAGCGTAACTGGATACTCAAGTTATTTAAATAATCTCTTGATGTCATGAATTCCTGTAATAACATACAGTAGAAGGAACGCGACGAACAGAAAGGGGGACAATAAAATCAATAGCTAACCTTAAGTTTGAACCCCACCACGTTTGGAGTGTCTCTTAATGAACTCTAATTAGAGACAGCAGACGAGACGTTTATTGTCGAAGAATCGGTCTCTTTGAGGATACGTAGACGAGGCAGGTGCCTCAAGTATTATAGCATACAACTCCCGCTTCACTGCTGATACTTATAATATATTCGATTTCTTGTGCCTAAGTCAGTCAAGTTTCAGTGCTACTAGAAGTATATGAGATTAAAATAACCAATATACTTTTGTAATCCGTGGATGAAATGTAGGCCTACTTTTATATTCTAACTTGTAGTTGCCTGTTATTGTAGACTAATTAAGTACGAGAAAATGAAGGTTCAAACGGTTGTTTCTCTTTAGTGGACTGTTTATTCGTGATTTTCTATCGAAACATTGAACGGTATCAATTGATTAGTTCTAGATCTAGTTCAAGATCTTTTGTGACGAATTTTGCAATTCTTTCCAAATCAGGACTTCAGGTAGATGTGCATATTATTATTTTCTATTAGAAAGCCTATATCAAATCACTCTGTTTGTCTGTCTGTCTGTCTGCCTTTCTGTCAGTCTGGCCAAAAGTTTGTACACGTTATTCCTCCGACACCCAAACTCGGTTCAAAGTGAAATTTTGCACAATTATTTCTTTTACCTGACAACACAAAAATCAATTTTAAAAAATTAAACAATTACTTAATTAACTATTGGCAATTAATTACTTTGTTTGGTATCCAAACAAGGGAAAGAAATCGTACTAGACTGAAGTGGTGGTTAAAGTTGAATTAGTCCCCATACAAAGGGAAAGAAAGAGTACTTGAGTGGTGGTATAAGCTGAATTAGTCCCCTTTATAGCTTGTCATCTGAGGCTTATTACAAATGTTTATTACTTGACTGATCCAAACTAATTGATACATTTAATTTAAGCTTGAAAGCGTGATCGAGAGGCTAAGTGCGCTTGAACTTAGCGTGGCTTGGCTACATATAAAGGGGGCTCGAGGTTCGACACCCGACTCGGGCAGAGTTGTGTTTACTGAGCGCCTGATACCCCTTCCCCCCCCCCCCCCACTGGTCCACAAATGAGATTGGACCAAAGCGCTCTGAGCATGCTATAAACATGAAAGTAGCGCTATATAAAATCCATAATTTATATATTATACTCTATTTTTAAATTTATTTCCTTTGATACATATATACAAAATATTATCGATATTATAAAGTTCGGCCTGAAATGTCCATCATATTTTTTTACGATTCAATTTTTAACCCAAATATAAAACTAAATTACAAAATTAGATCCTATAGATACGTAAACTACATTAAGCAAAAAAGTTTTCTAGAATAGTTTTAGTAATCTATAATATAACCATAAAACGTCGGCACACAGATTCATCACTCATTAACCCATTTGAGCTGGACGAAAAATATGAAAATGTAACCTGTTATTACTTACCTTGTGCCCAGGGCAACTAGGCACCTCTCGAGATCGAAACAGCAGGGGGCGTCATAAAGTGGGCAGTTCAAATTAAACAAAACAGATACTAGAATTCAGGGGCCACAAATATGTTTTTAGACTCTCAAAATGTGGGCGTTATAATGGGAAGTGAAAAAAAGGAGAGAAGTTCTGATCAAAATACTATTTGGAAAAAAAAAGTGTGGGGTACTGGCCAGGGTATTTAAAAATACCCCGAGTACAAATTAACGGGCTAAGCCGGTGTTTAATGCTAGTTACTTATTTACCCCCCCCCCCCTTTTTTTTTTCGTTGGAGATAGATATTTATTTCTCTACTATTAGTTAGTTCCCCTTTCAAACCTTGTGGTCTACAGGGCAGATGATTTAAAGGTCATTTGATTCTGTGGCCTACGGTTAACGGGGGTCATGTGGTCAGCACAACGACCAACCGCCTTTACTTTTCCCCAACTAATGTCAGGTACCCATTAGAGCTGGGTGGCGCCCAAGGATTAAGAAATAAAAATCACAGTCTTCACCAGGATTCGAACCTGGGACCCCCCCGGTCCAGAAGCCACCGCGCCTCCTTTTCTTTACTATTAGCCAACATAATTTATCTTCTGACATTATTTGTGTGACAGGATCTACTTAGTATGCCTACTGATACACCGTTAGTTAGCAATAAAAGCTTAATGATACAGACAAGCTGTCGATAGAATAAGAAAGAATTATCCTTTAAACACCTGTTTATCTGTGTTAACTAAATCATAATATCGCTTCAATGAATTGCTTCGAAATCCCTATTCGGGACTGTTAATGTACCGACACGTAGACAATATGAACTTCTCTTGTTTATCAAACTTTTACCATTGGAGGATCCTAGCCAGGAAAAAAAAATTCTTTGCGACCCCTTACCCAGTTGGGGCTTTTGTGGTGCGATGTCAACTCCCACAGCGGCGTGGGGGTGAAGAATGTAATAAAGAAAAAAAAAAGAAACTCTTAAACTTATAATACAATTTTTCTTTGTTTTTTTTTTGTGCCTATATATCTATAATATGTTTGGAATCCAAAGTTACGTAATAAATGTTCTGTAAAGCTAGACCGTTAATTATTGTTTTGTTGTTGCTGTTTTTTTGTTTTATATATTGGAGATGTTGATACATTGTGGGAAACCTAAAAATAGCTATAATTTCTTGGTGTTTCCGGTGTACAAAAGTCGAGCTCAGCCTAACGTGAAAATATTCACAGAGACGGAAGTGAACTCAAGCGTAGCTAATCCAGTTATGATTACAAAACGCATTCTGTCCAGTCGAACACATAAACCACATTGACTAATGATGAATCAATAGGTGGTGGGATCGGCAGGATACAACAATTTCAGTAACACATTTTCCCCCCTTATACAGTACTATTTTAAGGAAGACAGATGGAAAGAGAAAAGAAATTGAGAAACATTGAGACAAAAAGAAGACAAGAGAAAGAAGAAGAAATAGGGAGAGAAAATGAAAGAAGTGTGAGAAACAGAGAAAATGATAGAAAGAGAGAATAGAAGAAATAGGAACAGGGAGAAAATAAGAGAAAAAGGAAGAGAAAGGAAGAGAGACAAAGAGACTGAAGGAGATAATGCACAACAATATCACACTGAAATGCCGCCATGTGAAAATAAATTCTCTCTTTTCTTGTGCTTCTCACAATATCATATTGTGTATAACGTGGGACTTCAATGAAAACAAAAAGCCGGGAAAGTCCGTCCCGTGTCTACACGCACTCGTATCAAGTGGATTAAATTTAACATTTATAACTGGTGGGACAAATATGTAAATAGCTGCACATTCGCACGCCGATCAGAAATGCAAACAAAGTCAACAGAAAGAGACCATAGGCTAAGTTTAGCTCATTATATTTGTAGGGCCTAATGGTAGATCATGGTCTATATAATAATTTGATTTTGTTCCTTTATGGAGAGCCAGGCCACTTGGACCTATCCACTGGCTTTATTATACATTCTTTATTTGAAATATTTGTTACATTTAAAAGCATATTTTTACTCTCTCTCTCTCTCTCTTGCTTTCCCTTCTACAAGACAGCGGATGATAAAGGGAAGGTAAAGCACTAACTCCAGATAATTGTGAAAACAGAATGAAGCTCATCTACACGACTCCCTCTGTTCTCTGCATAATATTGACGAGATATATGTAGACCTACACCACATTAGTATAATACACAATATGTTATAATACACAATATGTTATAATACACAATATGTTATAATACACAATATGTTATAATACACAATATGTTATAATACACAATATGTTATAATACACAATATGTTATAATACACAATATGTTATAATACACAATATGTTATAATACACAATATGTTATAATACACAATATGTTATAATACACAATATGTTAGAACAATAAAAAAAAAAAAGAACATCAACAACTAAAATAAAATACACGGAAACGAAAACCAAAAACCCTTCAATGGAACCGATGGTGGTATCGGATCTGATCGTCATCAAAACAACAAAATATGACCATCATGGGGATCTGATTGTATGGAGTGGATCAAATCGGATTGTATCGTATCTGTTTGGATTGGAATGGATCTGATTTAAATAGGATTGGATTACATTGAAATTCATCCGAATCGAATCGGATCAGATCTCATTTTAAAAAATTGCCATTATGGGGATCTGAAGGAATCAAAACAATCATCATAAAAGAAATAGGTCTGTATGATGATCACGTCCACGACATTCGGGGGACACTTTCAATTTCCCTTCCAGTTTCGGGAGTCTCCTGACTTGCAACCAGATGTCTAATTTTTTTTTACACTACCATATAAATTTATTGAACATACACGTACTTTTAGAAAATTGTAAGTACGTTATTTTTCAATACTTTCTTAATACTTAAAACTTTCTTCATGGGTGAAAGAGGTAGTGTAAAAAAATATTAGACATCTGGTTCAACTGGCGGTCGAACCCAGGACCTCTCGCGTGTGAGGCGAGCGTGATGACCACTACACTATTGAACCGGTTATAAGGAAGTTACCTTTACCTATCCATTATTTTATTGGATCGTTGGGGCACCATGCAAGAATCGTCGACCGCCTTTCTCCATTCCTCTCTCTTTTAGTTAGAACCTCTTTCAATGGCAGGCCCGTCCATTCTTTTATGTTTTCCTCCCATCGCATTCTCTGCCTCTTCTTCTTTTTTCTGGAACTGTTCCCTGAAGGAAGGTCTTTGCGAGCCCCGAAGATCTTGTAATATGTCCATATATTTTGAGCTTGCGTTTTTTCATTTTAATTAGCAGATCATCATGGGGTCCGATCGCTGCAGTAACCCTGTCTCTAATCTCTTGGTTTGTGATGTGGTCTTTGAACGTGATACCTAGGATCCTTCTATAGCATCTCAATTCCATTGCTAGGATCCTCCTCTCTAGCTCTGCAGTCAGCGTCCAAGACTCACAAGCATATAAAAATGTGGCCATGACCAGGGAGCGGATCAGTCTGATTTAGGTGCCGAGGGCTAAGCCTTTGTCTCTCCTTATTATTTTCAGTTTTGAAAGGGCAGCTGTGGACTGTGCTATTCGGGCAAATAGTTCGGGTTTCGTTCCCTCATCGGAGACAATAGCTCCGAGATATTTTAAAATTATATTGAATCAATTGTCCAATTAATGTGTAGTGCGAGTGGAAATATTTGTATTACTTTTTGATATTAGCCTAAGTATTAGGTATAGCAAGAGTTGTGATGATATGGAGGCCATGCAATGGTTTCTGAATCATCAGTTACGTTCACTAACCATTAAAGGCAACATCTTTCAAGCAGAACAATTAAGTATGTAATGTAGTCAAACAGCCAATAGTACAATACTTACGAAAGGCAATATGCTTGTAACAAAAATAAGAGTTAGTGAGGATGAGCCCGTTAGCGTGATGTGGTACGGTATATGGTAGGCATCTATATATATATATGGTCTACCCTTACGACTCAGAACCCCGCACATGACACTCGCCCAGGGCCCGCGCACGGCTAGGGCCGCCTCTGAAAGAAAGGGGGGGGGGTATCTGGCAGAAGGTTTTACATTTATAAATAATAAATTATCAAGTTATAATTACAATAACAAATTGAGACCTAATTTTATATTTTATTTCTGCTCGATTGTTGAAATTCCATGACAGGTCACTTCAATTTCATCCCCGGTTGTATGATTTATTGCAGATAATTGGTAAACATTAACTTCATCAGATGACTAACAGGTTCAATAGTGTAGTGGTCATCACGTTCGCCTCACATGCGAGAGGTCCTGTGTTCGACCCCCAGTTGAACCAAAGTTACTTTTTTAATTCATGAAATGACTGGTATGAAATACCAGTATTGTATGTAGGCAATACATTTCTGAGCTATAAAGATTATGGCTATTTTTATTGTTGATATCGACTCTACAATGTGGTAGTTCAGTTTGCATTTTTTTAAATTCATATGCCATGATTTTTCAAACATAAAATGTTTGTTTTTAAAATACATCAAACCTTACTAATTACACAAATATATTTTGACACAAACACCCAAACACAACGCTTCATCACAATCGATTAGAGTGTTATAGATTACGTCCCTTTATAAAATCAGTTTTTTAAATACCATTTCTTGAAACCTAACAAATAATTGTGAATGTTTATTATACTGATTGATATTTTAATAGAATATCTAAACCATAGACTTATATAGTATATATTAGTTTATGATCTAAACATTTCTCCTTTTCAGAACATTAAAAAAAATGTTTAGACTTAAACGGCAAAAATTGAAAAATGATTGCACACTGTATAACAATATTTTTTTTTTCATTTCAAATTTCCAATTTTTTGTTTGTATGCACACATTAAGATTTCATTGTAGTCCGACTGAGTCACACTTTACTACGGAAACTTTAGCCAACAGCGTGCAGTTGAAAGCCTGCCAAATTGGATTCAATATCACCAATTTGTTAAAGTTCCGGAATAGTTATTTCGAATAGACCTGGCCGATCAATAATTTTTGGAATAGCTTTTTTTGTTTTGTTTTTAATTTGATCTTGAATTGATCTATCACACGAGAATGCAAAAGTCTATCAATAAATTTTAATTGTGTAGACTATTGTTATAACATTTAAAACAAGCGAAATAAACAAAAATACTTTAAGCTTATATGAGGGAAAGAACCACACAAATATTGTCATATCTCTCAAAATTTCAAGATTTATTTCCTTTTCCTATAGAAACAAATTAATTGACCGATTGGTTAATTTTTTTGATCGATCCGTGTATTGTCTTCGATGATGAATAATCGTGCAAAGTTTTAACTTGATCGGAGAATGGGAAGTGGGGGGAAAAACGTGTCAATTTTATACCAGACAGAGTGAGTAGATATAAGCTTTGTACAAAAAATAACCTTTAAACTTTTTAAAAGTAGTAGAATTTCCCTTACAGATTTTGCGAAATGATGTAAAGGGCATTTTGTGTATGGCCAACGGTTAACGAGGGTGTCATGTGGCCAACACAATGAACAAATGCCATTACTTTTCCCCAACTACTGTCAGGTACCCATTAGACTAATTGGACGGTCTCAGGGGCGTCCTAAAAATCCTGATATTCAAAATGCCAGTTTTCACCGAGATTCAAACCCGAATCCCTACACTTTTAAGACTATGCTTTAATTAAAAGATAAGATAATATTTGATAGCCTACACTTTATTTATGTTGAAGCAGACATTTAGAAGCTACGGAGTGCATCCACAAATTCAAGCTCTCAAAATACGCGCGAACTTTGAACTACTTTTGCTTGCGCAAGAATTTAGCTGAACGGAAAGATGAGGCTTTATTAAACTTCCCGAAACATTGACTGTAAGAATGTTTAGATTCTCAATAGTCTTATACAGTTTCTTTTGAGTCGAAATTACAGGAAGTAGAATTGTTCGATTGGTTGGTGAGTAATGTCGTACCAAACTTTAGGTAGGAACTGTTTTATCTCTATCTCTCTCCCTCCTCTCTGTTTCTTACCAAAAACATTTCTTTCTTCGTACTGCCCCCTCTTTCTTCATCTCTTCTCCCTCTCTCTTTTTTATTTCTCTCTCTCACCCTTTCTACTTCACCCTTCTTAAGTTTTCCTTTCTCTCTTCTTCTCTTCCTTTTGACCCCCCCCCCCTCTCTGTATATTTTCTTCCGTCCATCTTTCTTTTTCCCTCTCTTCTTTTACCCCTTCAGTCCACCCCCCCCCCCCCATTTTTTTTTAAAAAGGCGAAACAGATTTTTTTCTAACAATTCAAGAGACTAATGAAATACGTTGTATGAAAAAAAAAGTATTTTGCGAAAACAAAATAAACCTCACACATCCTTGCGTAAGTTCAATTGTCTTTTAATTTAATTTCACTTTTTTTTTATTATTGAAGAGTAAATTAAGTAAATGATGTCATCAAAAGATGTGTACGGCCATAGGGGTCAGTGATCAATCATGACCACGTCGTCAGTTCCAAAGAATCACCAGCCGGGGAAAACGGAAGTACAAAGATTTGCTTCTATGAGGGAAGCCACGAGACCCGTCCTTCCTCATATAGGTCAGTGAAGTGTTTAGTCATTCAAATGTGGTGTGAATTAAGTGAAATGAATACTGTCAAGTAAATCTAAAATAAATAAATAAATAAATATTTCTCATTATAAAAAAACAAAAAACGTTACTATCATCACATTACAGACTATCGCCCACCGCCATTGAATGTATAAGTTGTAACCAAACACTAAACTTTAAAAGAAAAATAATTACATGCACATCCATTTGTCAGTCAATATTTTTCCACAATTTCAAATTAATTAGGGTTATCAAAACTTAATATATAATAATAATAATTTTAGGACGCCCCTGAGACCATCCAATTAGTCTAATTACTAGTCTGACATTAGATGGGGAAAAGTAATGGCAGTTGGTCATTGTGCTGGCCACATGACATCCTCATTAACCGTTGGCCATACAAAAATGACATTTACATTATTACGTAAGATCTGAAAGGGGAATTCTACTACTTTTAAAAAGTTTTTGTACAAAGCTTATATCTACTCTCTTTATAAATATCTTGGAATAAACCAGAATGCCAAGATAAACCATAAGAAATTAAAAGAAGACTTTCTTGGTAAATATAAGCAAAGAGTTATTAAAATCCTCAACAGCAAACTGTCTGGCAGTAACCTCATCACTGCAATAAATAGCTGGACCGTCCCAGTGCTCCTTTCGGTGTGATCAAATGGACTGACACCGACCTACATAACATTGATAGGCGCACTAGAAAATTACTAACCAAATTTCGATGCCTACACCACAAGTCCTCCACCATAAAGTTGTACCTGCCCAGGAAGGATGGGGGTCGAAGATTGCAGAACATTTTCAAATTGTGTAAGATGCAAGTTTAAAATACGATCAAAACTGCTCGCCTCCAGCAATCAATTAGTTTCCTTTCTACTCCTTTCTACTCAAATATGACTCCGAAGCAACCCTTCTGAACCTACACAATGCTGATGTCATTGTCGGTTTGGACGACGTAGGGCACGAGATTCGCCAATGGGAAGAAAAAAAACTCCACAAAAAATTCCCGACTTTAATACATGGGGGCAACATCGACAAGGCTGCTTCCTTAACATGGCTCAAAGCAGGTCATCTCTACCCCGAAACAGAAGGCTTTGTTGTCGACAAATGCCGAAAATGTGGAAATGTGGGTGAGTCGATTGAACACATTAGGGCAGGATGTCCAGCCCTATCAGAATCAGCCTACCTAGGTGGCCATAACCAAATTGCAAAGTTAATACACCAACACTTGGCTTTGACGCACAATTTCATCGGTAAGGACACATTACAAATTACAAGTACTCGCCACAAGAGGTTCTCGAGTCTACTGAACATCTGCTGTACTTGGATAGGCCTATTTTGACCGACAAAACGGTAGATTTCAATCGTCCGGATCTTCTGTTCGCTACCAATATCAAAATCGCCGTGCTACTGTCTCATA